CTTTTCCTAGTTTTTTTTACATATTGGTCATATGAAAATGAGGAGGAGAGAGAAAATCATCAGGCTTTTCATTTGAGGGTATGTTTAGTCTACAGTAGTCCCCACAGTGGATTATCATGATATATTGAAGGCAATATAGGTAAAAATAAAAGCTTGCAGTTACTGCAGCCCTTTTACTTCCTATTGACTCCCTCTGCTCCTGTAGGAAATTGATGTTGAATTCTATAGTCCTTCGTAGCTTGGTTAGAAGACCACAGAGTGAGCTAAAACAACTACTTGATCCTGTTGCAAATACACAGGTCTCCAAAAATGGGGAAAGTGCTGTGTTTTTTAATTCTTCCTGCTGAGACCTCAGAATTGGCAAGAGTGAGTGCTCAGGACTGATGACAGTCGTTAGTACATTAATTCAAAGTACAGGACTTCTCAGTTGCTCCTCATCACTTCACTGGAGCATCATCTTTCTACCCCTCATCTTCTCTTCCCTTTCCAAATTTGTGCAGGGATTGCATTTTTCACGGTATTCTTAAGAATTAAAGCACTAAAACTGAAACCTTGCTAAAGCAAGTCCCATCTGACCAAAATGTAAAATGGCTACTTAAGTCTTCTAGTGCATGGGAAAGTGAATATACAGAACAGGTTCCTACAGCAGTCTATGAGACCGATACCACCCTAGTATGTAAGACAGAGAAACTGAATTGAACACACAGCAAGATGAACTAAGAAGGAAAAGACTGTGCTTTTATTCTGTGTAGTTTTATATTGTTTGTAGTCTTTCAGTGTGAATTCTGATCCGATTTTCAGTGTTTGTGAAATTATAGAAATATAACACTTGCAAATATTTGCACAAAAAGTAATTTTATTTTTTAGTCATTTTCACACCATTGATGAGAAGTAGAATAATTACTATGTTACAATACACATCCTGCAAATAAGGCTCCAGTTAGCAGTTTTCATGGCTTTTTTTTCCCCCTTCTTTCTGCTTACGTTATGCAGCATTTTGTCCATACCACATTGGTCACTTCTCCATTGTTGGCCTGGGCTTTGAGGAATATGTAAGTACTGTTTTCTAATTTCAAAATGAAAAAAACTGCTGCTATTTATTTAATCACAATATTTTTGTAGCGTCCTTCCACTTTTATTTGTGATTGCAAAAGTAACTTGTAGTGTCTCTCATTTTTTCTCCTCAAACCTTTTTTTAATCTGTG